AAATAGCTCTGGTGTGCAGATAGGTCCAGGCATCAATATTTTTAAAAAATTGCTTAGACTTAAAAAAAAATTTTTTTAATGCTGCTCAGGCATTTCCAGTGCTGAGCAGACGGAAAGTCACTAAGTGGCTTATGTCACACTCACAGTAAAACCTGGACAACTTTGTACAGCAAACAAGGGTCCTGCTGCCTGGAGTCCTCACCTGCTGACAGCAGCCCTCTGGTCATCAGTCTCCTTCAGATACCACAGCTTTGTCACCCAGCACCAACCATCTCTAGTCCTGGAACAGTGCCTTTTGTTAAACCTTGTAAGAGCACCCCTCCATGGCCTCTGCATCAGCTCCTGTCTCCAGGGTCCCACCTTTTTTAGTTCCTGCCCTGCGTTCCTTTGGTGATGGACTGTGGATGTGGAAGCACAAGCCAAATAAGTCCTTTCCTCCCCAGCTTGATTCTGGTCATGGTGTTTCATCACAGCAATAGTAATCCAAACTGAGATAGTCTCTCTAAGTAGCCCTAGCTATCCTGGAATGAAATTCACTGTGTAGACTCCCTGTCTGTGCCTCCCAAGTCCCCGGATGAAAGGTGTGCACCACCACTCTTGCCCTCCATCACTCTTCACCTTGTTCTTCTGGACAGTCTCTTGCTGAGCCGGAAGTTCACTGACACCAGCAAGACAAGCTGACCACGGAGCTCCAGCCGATACATCTGTTCTCCCCCGGTGGTGCCGAGATCAGGTGCTCCATTAGCCCTCCTCTCTGTAGGGCCGGGGAATTAAGCCCAGGTCCTTTTCTTGTGGATAAAACACATCAGGTCTCGCTTGCATTGCCCTTGGTAAGAGCTTCTATTGTACAGTGGGTGAAGCCCACACAGGATTTCTGGTCCTTGTATCTCGTGTTGTCCCTGTTTATCCCTGCTGGCTGCAGGCAGGCTGCTCCTTCATGGAAGAGCCAGGTAGAATTGGCTTTGGCTCGGAGAGCAGGCTTTAAAGAGAAGAACAGCGATGCACTTGTGGTTTATAAATAGGCTGTTTCTGTGCTACTGTGTGAGCTGTGCCTCTTACAGACCTTGACACGGTGTCTGATGGGAAATGGAAAAGAAGGAAAATGGGCTTTGGGGAAGGTTTGTGCCCTAGGCCCAGTCTGAAGACTGGTTGATAGAGCGTTGAGGGTTTTGTGGTGGTGGGTTTCTTTCTTTTCTTTTTATTCTGACTCTCGCTTTCAGGGTACAGTTCATCATGGGGAGGGGACAGATAAGACTTCACTGTGTCCTCATCTAATGAAGTTTACTCTAACACTGCTTATGTGGAGAGCGCTCACAATGTTGTATATCAGGACTGAGGGCCACAGCTTGCCCGTCAGGATGACATTGATGTTGAAGGCAGATACAGTCATAGTATCTGAACAGATGAGTGTGGCCTTGTGCCACACAACTACTTATGGACTCTGAAACCCATTTTTAGCTCCTGGGGACACCAGAAAGCCAGGAGATGGTGCCTTTGGTCCCTCAGCCATCCATAGGTCACCACCTCTAGCTTCACATCTTACTTGAGGTCTTCAGAAGTGCAATTTTTGACCACTCGTAATTTTTGTGGTCTGGAACAAGTTGCCTCTCTGTCAGAATGTATGTGTAGTGTAGCCTCTGTTTCAGATCGCTCCCCGTCCGGCCTCTTTGTTAAGCACTCACTCTGGACCACATTTGACATTGTTTGAGTCTGCCCTTTGTTATGGCTGAAAGCACGCCTCTGCCTTGCTAGCCCTGTCCAGCAGCTGCACTTCCCATCAGTCAGCGTTTATTTCAGGCTGGAAGCAGGTGCTGAGGAACTGCCCCCACTCCGGTTCACCGGCAGCTGTGTGGACAGATTCCTGACATGCCGGCGGCGGCTTCTTTTGCTAAAGCATGGAGATTTCTAGATTTGCAGTATGCCTGTGGAGTGCATGGTCCTAGGCCACTAGAGAGGTAGCCCGGAAGTTCTGGGCATTAAATGACCCCAGAACAATGTTTAACCCAGGAAGAGGATAAATACCAAGCCCCAGCCTTTTCTTCTCAGAAGGAATGGATGGCAGTGTTCCACAAGGGTTAGTGAGCTCCCGGCCATTCAAAACTGCCTCCCTCCCCCCCTACAGTGCTCTTCCTGGGACCTCCCACCCCCATTCCATAAATAAGTCATTTTTCTCAAAGTTGCCCACATCTTCAGGATTTTTGAAATTACAGTGATTTCTTAAAAATTAATTAATAGTTAATTAATTTATTTATTTTTGGGGTTTGAATACAGGGTTTCTCTGTGTAGCCCTGGCTGTCTCGGAATGCATGCTTTAGACCAGGCTGTCTTTGAACTCATCAAGATCCATTTGCCTCTGTCTCCTGAGTGCTGGGATTAAAGGCATACACCACTACCACCTGGCTCAGTAACTTTTTAAAAAAGATTTGTTTGTATTTTTCTTATGTGTATGGATGTTTTGCCCACATGTGTATGTGTGTACACCACGGGCATTCCTGGTACACAAGGAGGCCAGGCGAGGGCAGTGGACCCCTGGAATTGGAGTTCCAGATCTCTGGGAGCTGCCATGTAGGTGCTGGGAATGAAATTCACGTGTGTCCTCTGCAAGAGCAGCAAGTGCTTTGAGCCATTGCTTTAGTCCCGGGGTGACTCTTATTACAAGCCTTCCCCTCCCTCATTCCTTCCTTTCTTTTTTTTAAAAAAATAAATTATTTATTTTATGTACATTGGTGTTTTTGCCTGCATGTTTTTGTGTGAGGGTGTCAGACCTTGGAGTTACAGACAGTTGTGAGCTGCCATGTGGGTGCTGGGAATTGAACTCGGGTCCCCTGGAAGAGCAGTTAGTGCTCTTAACCACTGAACCATCTCTCCAGCCCATCCCTCCTTTCTTTTGCTTGCTGGAAATCCGTGATGTCATTTTCTTAATGGTGATGTTGTCACAAGAGTTTACAGAAATGCCTAGGTAGAGGTGGATGGGAAGGCTTGTATGTATCTACCTACAGATAAACCAGGTCATTTCTATGGTCTTAATCTCTATTCCTCAAGAGAACAGTAGCATGTGTGACCAGAACTCTTTAAATGTAGAAAGCCCCAGCTTCAGCTGTCTGCACTAAGCTAATTCAGAACTTGGTACTTCTAAAAGTTGTCAGATTCTGTGCTGGAGAATAACTTAAGCCGTGAACCCTACATGTATAACAGGGCGGCTGCAAAATAGCAGTTCATGTATGTTTGCAGGCGAGCTCCCAACACCGCGATTGACTGGACTATATCCCAGTGCAAGGCAAATGTTGAAAAAACTGTTTTTATTCAATGTAATTTATGGGGAGGGGAACAAGAAAGAGGGGGGGAAAGCTTTGGTTAGGGTGTGAAAAAAAGAAAATAGATAAATAAAAATGTAATTTATAGTTTGGTGGGAAAATAGCTTGGAGAATCATCTCTGCTTAGAATAAGATAACATTTATCAACTGTCTTATAAACGGAGACCACGTCGCCATGGCTATAAACTGTGGCTGGGTTCTTAGCAAGGAGTTAGGAGCTGGCCACAGTGCTGTGGTGTCCTTCCTTTTATGTCTGTCCTGCTGGTTGCTAGCAAGAGCTTCTCCGAGTGTCTCAGCCATTTTTATTTTCAAGGATGTTCATGTCAGTTTCTATGCTGTTGGTGGTGGTGAGCTCTTTGGTTTGGTCCGTTCTTCCTCTGGAGTACTTGTTTGGTTGTTTTCTTGTTTTCTTGAAGTCACTTCTCCCCTTTTTAACCACTTAGTAAGCTTAATATACAGTTGATCCAAAAAGGTTTTTCTTTAAATACTACTATAAATACTAGCTGAAGTTAGGTTGTATGTCTTCCTGTTACAAGTTTATTGTTTCTGTATTCCTTACCTGATTATAACCAAATCTTGTGTATTTGGTTTCTAAAGCTACTAAAACATTTAGTAGGTATTAATGTTTTCTATATACGTATACTGAAATATGTTGAAAGAAAAAAAACTTGGGCTGTGTGAGTCTTATCCTGGTTGGTTCTTGTCAACTTGACACAAACCTAGACATATCTGGGAGTAGGGAATCTTAATTGAGAAAATGTGTTCCCAGATTGCCCACCCTTGAGCAGGTGGTCCTGACTTGTACAAGAAAGCAGAGTGAGCAAGCCATGGGGAGCAAGCCAGTAAGCAGCACCCTCCATTGTCTCCTGCCTCCAGGTTCCTGCCCTGACCTCCCTCAGGGATGGAGTGCGACCTGCGAGTTGCCAGCGGAAATAAACCCTTCCTTCCCTGAGCACTCCTGGTCATGATGTTTATTCCATCACGGCGATAGAGTCGCTAACTCTGACAGTGCTCTGAGTTACCTTCCTCGGGATGTTTTGGGAAGCATGTTTGGGTTACAGGCTGTTCACATTTTAGAATGTCACCCTCATTCACTTTCTACCCTTACTACCTTAACACATTTTTATTTCTTCTTCTTGAGACTTTTATCTTACTTTAATTATGTGGGGGTGTTTGTACACGTGAGTGCTGGTGCCCACAGAAGCCAGAGGCATCAGATTCCCCTGGAGCCAGTGTGCCAGAGCAGCAAGTGTGGTTAACCACTGAGCCGCCTCTCCAGCCCCCGCCTTCACACAGGTGGATAGCCTCAGACCTGAGCCTCTCTGTGTATATTATGGGGATCCTGTTGTCTCTTCTTCTGAGCTGAATTCCGAATCCACTCAATTTTAATTCCTTCCTATTCCAGTCCCAGGGTTGTTTGTCTTCCAAGGCCCAGGTCTGTGTGATGGACCCTGGGTGTTTTTCCTGGGCTCGGTGTGCACTGGGTTTTGAGGGCAGAGCCATTTGTACATTTTGCACCTATCACAAACAGTCTTGTTTTCTTCAGTATCCAGTTTTGTTTTCTAGTATCTGTTGTTTACCTTAAGTACCCAGGTTTGGTTTTCTGTCTTTGATTTCTCTCCAGCTATACTGTGTGATTTTTTTTTTTTTAAAGCGTTTTTCTTGTTTACTGTTTGTTGTTTATAGATGTGAAAAAGGACTGGTCTGACCATGCTCTCTGGTGGGAAAAGAAGAGGACTTGGCTGCTTAAGACACACTGGACCTTGGATAAGTACGGTATCCAGGCGGACGCCAAGCTTCAGTTCACCCCCCAGCACAAGCTGCTGCGACTGCAGCTCCCCAACATGAAGTATGTGAAGGTGAAAGTGAATTTCTCTGACCGCGTCTTCAAGGCCGTGTCTGACATCTGCAAGACTTTCAGTAAGTGTCCAGCCCTCCACTCAAGTGCAGTACGCGTGGGCCTCACATGGCATCGAGCTTATCCTCGGGGTGTGGGTTCGGATGAAATTATTGTTTAGATAGTTTTTAATCTTAATTTTAGATAAAGAAGTATTGGGTTAAGAAGGAACAGGAAGAATCAGATTTTTTTTCCCCTGATTAGAATCAGATCATGTTTCTTATTATATGAAAGTTTTTTTTTTTCCTGATAGCTTTATTATTTGACAGTAGTGGGGATTGAACCTTGGACCTCAGGGCATGCAACGCAGGCGCTTTCCACTGAGCTGCACTGTCAGCCCCAGCAGCTTTGTCCGTCAGAGGGAGGGGAAGGGAGCAGGCATTGTTTTCAGAGGGCTGTGGCGCTCCGGTATTTCCTTCACATAAGTCACTGTGATTTTAGCAATTCCGAGAGATGGCGTCACTTCCTTTGACAAAGGCTTGCCTAAGGAAACCGTGAGGACTCTCCCTCACCTGCTGTGAACACTCTGTGCTTTCAGAAGCAAGGCATTTCTGGTTGTGATGTATGGCGGGGAGCAGTTAGCCATCAGAGAAAACGTGACGTTTCGTCATTACCGCTAGCACATAATTTTTAGATATAGTTAATGACTCTCCAGATTTTAGTTCCAACTTGAACTAGAACTCTTTCATACATATGTTGCATTTTCAGGTGACACTAATAATTCATGAACACACTTTCTTTCAAAAGACTCAAGATTGTAGACATGGACAGTAATGGCCCCTTCCCAAGAGTAACTTCAGTCTGTCGTTTGATTTGCTGCACATTCGCTTTTCCGGGCCGTTTTCTGTGCAGTGTGTTTATGTGTGGCGTATGGTTTGTGCACACGTGTACGTGAAGATTTGGAAGTCTTCACAGATGTAAAGACGATAGGAGGATGTTGGTTGTCTGTCCTACTTTTTCTGCCCTGTTTCCTTGAAACAGTGTCTCTCTGAACCTGGAGCTAGGCTGGCAGCCAGCAAGCCCCAGCTGTCCTCCATGTGCCCTACCCAGCATTGAGATTACAGGCACTGCCAGCTGTTGAGGTGGGTCCGGGGATCTGAACTCACGTCCTCACGCTTGCACGGCAAGTGCTCTTGACCACTGAGCCGTCTCCCTGACCCCAGTTACATGTATTTTTTTTTTTTTGGTTTTTTGAGACAGGGTTTCTCTGTGTAGCTTTGCGCCTTTTCCTGGAACTCACTTGGTAGCCCAGGCTGGCCTCGAACTCACGGAGATCCGCCTGGCTCTGCCTCCCGAGTGCTGGGATTAAAGGCGTGCGCCACCACCGCCCGGCTACATGTATTTTTTTAATACAATTCACTGTTTTACAGTAATCGTGTATAGTTGCACTAGTATTAATTCCCCATTTCCAGCGTTCCCTGTTCGTGGACATTTAGGTTGTTTCAGTTTTAGAGCAAATACCGCGATGAGGTTTTGTTTTTGTGTAGCATATTGTTGACAAGTTTTTGGTTGGGATAGCTTCAGGACACCCGGTCCTTATTAACTACTAGAGCCACTGGCAGATGCTCCTGGGCTGTCTCCGGCACCTGGAAGCAAGGCCGGGGTGGGGCTGCCGATCCTTAGCACAGCGCTCCTTGCTCCTTAGTTGAGTCTCTGGGTTTGCCGTGTGGTCTCCATTTCTTGTTTGTGGTTCTGATAGGGGCTCTTGACCAAGTCAATATCTACTTTAGGACCCCACCACCCCTTAACCCTTCCCCCCAACCCTCCACACACACACCCCCAGTCAGGGTCTCTCTGTGTAGCTGTCCTGGAACTCACTCTGTAGCCCAGGCTGGCCTCAAACTCAAGAGATCCACCTGCCTCTGCCTCCCGAGTGCTGGGATTAAAGGTGTGCGTCACCACTGCCCAGCTCATTATTATTTTTATTATTATTGAACCTTCTTAAATGTGTGTTGTTCTTGTTTACAAGCAGTCTTAGGAATGTTCATCCTTTCTCTCCAGTTTTTAGGCATCTTTTGCTGTTGTTTCTAGGAACTTAGGGCATACAGTCAGATTAATATCACTGTTTTTATCTAATGCTTCTGGGATTACTCATTAATGTTTAATGGGATAATACAAATTAAAACGCCAAAAAGTACAAAGAACTACGTAACAGTTACTTAATTCCCATTACTTAGGTTATTTAGAATTATTGATACTTTATTTTTAAGTCATGGTAATACAGGTAAATTTCTTAAGTGACGTCCTCCTAACTTTCTTCACAAAGCACATGTGGCCTAGTTTGCACTGTTGTTACTGTGATTAAAGGTGTGTGCTACCACACATGGCGCAAACATTTTTTAATTGATGTACGTATTGCTTGTGTGGCCGCGGAGCAAATGTCATGATGATGTCCATGTGGAGGGCAGAGGACAAGCTTCTGGAGATGGTTCCCACCTCCTACCACGTGGGGTCTGAGGCTTGACCCCAAGTCCTCTTCCTTTCTTCAGAGCCGTTTCTAGCCCAGACCTTTCATGTCGATGCTTCGTGTTTGCTGCATCTTGTCTGAACGATCTTTGCTGAGGCTAAGCTCCGGCGAGTGTTCCACGCTGTACCTGCTGACCATTTCCCAGCCATTTTTTTCTTCTTCATCAGTCTCCGCTGTTAGAAATGCCATCGGTTTCTTTTTTCTTGTAATCTATCTAATATCTTTGTTGGGCTCTGTCTTAAATCTTAACAATTTATATTTCACTTCTATATAAATAATCATACCTCTTATAATTTACTCTCTTTTCATTTGTACGTCTCGTCTCTCACTGTGTCTTACTGTGACGAATTAGACTTTTAGTCGTGTTGAGTAACAGCAGTGGCAGTATTGTTAAACTGTCCCTGATATTTTACATAGAGCTTACATTTTGTTGTGTGTGTTTAGGAACTTTTCACCTATGTTTTATTCCTAATACCTTGACTCATGAAAACACCTAAAATGTAATTAAATGGAGGTCATAGTAGAACAATAGGAAGGACCTCCATGCCCTGATTAACTTTAGAACTCTTCATACTTTAGCTTGGCTCGTATTCCCCTCTTTATCATCCACATGCTGTCACTGAATCTTACCCTGTAAATGTATTAGGCATTCATCTGTAGGTGGAGTTTTCCCATTCCTGGAACAGCTTCCAAATTACCACACAGAGACTTATATTAATTATAAATGCTCAGCCAATAGCTCAGGCTTATTACTAACCAGCTCGTACATTTTAAGTTAACCCATATTCTTTATTTACACACTGCCACATGGCTGTACCTTTATTAGCGTGGCACATTCATCTGCTCTCTGTGTCTGGCTGGTGACTCCAGCCTCTGCCATCCTTCTTCCCATCGTTCTCAGTTTGGCTTTCCTGTCTAACTTTATCATGTCCAGCTATTTATTGGCCAGTCAACTGCCTTATTAAACCAGCCACAGCGACAAATCTTCACAGTGTACAAAAGGATTATTGCACAGCATTCATCCTTCCTGCCACGTTCTCTTGTGAGTGGTGGTAAATGTAGGTGGTATTTAAGTGTCTGTACTTACATTTCTCCACCTTCCTAAATACAGCTGTGGGCATGCTTGTCTTTGTTGTTGTTGCAGCCTTTACTACTGCTGATACTGTGCCATTTTCAGCCATGTGTGCATCTAGAATTTCTTATCTTTAGAGTTCTGGGATGAGATGTGACACCAGCCTGGCCCCAGCCCCAGAGGCTCCACAACCTGTGTTTAACACTACCACCTGGAGACTGGGTGTGGAGGACATCCTGTATTCAAGCCATAGCGTCTGCAGGCTTGCAGGAGCCCAGAGGAAGCTGGGACCTAAAGATGTAATTAAATCACTCTGGAGTTGAGAGTTGGTTATAGAAATAACTAAGGCAGCTACTTGGCCTTAAGTAATTCAATAACTACATGTTTAACTTATTTATTAGTAGTAATTGAAGATTGTTCTTGCTGAAAAATATTCCTTATAAATACCATAAAATGTGAGTGTGTGAACTGGAAGGAAAGTGTGCGTATTTGATAGATAGTTGTTAAATCCAGTTAGCAGTGTGCCTGTCTACATTTGTGTCATTTATGAGTGATGTAATAGGCTTTTGTATGTTTTAATGGTTTTGAAAAACTATATATTTGAAATAGATGAAAATTACAGAAGTCTAAATCCCGTGTCCATAAGTAACTTGTATTCAGCATAGTCAGACTCCTTGCTTAGCTGTTGTCTGGTTGCCTCGGTATTACAAGGCAGTTGAAGAGATCTGCGCAGGGGTGAGATACTTTCCATCAGCCTTGTGTAGGGAAAGCTTGGAGGCACTGTTCACCTTTCCACCACTGGACACCAAACACTGAAGTCACTTCATAACTGCTCCCGGGAATGATTTTCTCCTGTTAGTCATTTAATATTCAAGCCGAGTAATTTTCCTCAAATTAAATGACTTCACTTAAGTGCTGGTCACTGTGGTTTCATTAGTTGAACTCTTCTGGCTCTTGACGACTGTAAGAGAAGTGACATCAAAAAGGAGAAAAACGACATGGCCAGTGTCACCAAATGCAGTGCCACCAGAGCCCAGAGTCTCGTGAAGGACACCAGCTCCTGTGGGGTCAGCGGTACAGACCGACACCAAACCCAACGGGAAATGACCTAATTTTGCTCAACACTGACGACAGCCTTTCCGGGGCTTCTTGCTTTGTTTTTAAAATTGGTAAAAAATGATTTCTTTGCAATTTAACTCTCACAAAATGCCGTGTGGTGGTTAAATAAGACTGACTTGCCTCTTCCTTTTTTAAACGAGCATCGTCGGCAGAGGCTGTCGGGTTCTAACCTGCACGCTGGTGTGGTGACGTCACCAGTGTGCGCCCCAGGCTGATAGAGTTCTGTGCTCACAGTGTGTTAGGTTGGTGTTAGTAGACGGGGGTCCAGGTCTTCTTCCCACTAGTGATATTCGTTAGGCACGTGCTGGCCTTGTCCCCCCCTGCCCTTCCCAGGGCAGGGCGGAGGGGACTTTGTAGAGACACCA